TTTAGAGTTGTATTTGTTTATTGAAAATTTACTATTGGCATTCTGTCAATTGCTAGAGCCTCTTTTTTTCCTTTTTCACCAATGCCTTCATTGCAGCTTAGCTCTCTTTCTTCAATATCACCCGCTCTCGGTTAGATGCTACCTCTTGAAGTGACTGAACATCAACCGAGTCTGGTTGGCACAGTAGCTCGGGTATTCTTTACATCTACTTTCCGTGCTTCGTCCTGCATTCAACATCTTGTCCATGTTATCCTTTCAGGTTGCAACTCAAAACTTGCATTCCTTCTTCATTCCTTTGCCCCAGAGAATACTGAGTATATTTTTCTCTTTTGGGTTTTGCACCTTCAGTCTTTGCATATTCGTCATAATATTTTACTCTACCTTCTCGAGCTGCCCTTTGACATCTTCTGTTCTGTTCATGTCTTCCATTCTCTTTAGCTACTCTACACTCAGGAGCAAGTTTCAGAGTCTTACATCGACTTTGGTCTTTTCTTTGCTGTATTTTTAATGACTGTTTCCTTCATGTATGATGTAGCTAATGTCATCTCAGAACTCATCCGGTAGTGAATCATTAGTGTTCGATGTGTCAAACTGAAACTTGAGACCGTCTCTAAATTCAGGTGGGGTAGCCTCAGGATTGTATTCTGTCTCTCAGGAGCTTCTTTTAAATTTCTTCAGCTTCAATCTGACTTTGCACATGGGCAATTGATAGTCTGTTCCATAGTCAATCCCTGGCCTCATTCTGACAGATATTGAGTGTCCCTATCATCTCCACAGATATCACTGATTTTATTCCTATAAATTCATCTGGGTAAGGGCATCATGTATAGTTGCCTTCTATGTTATTGTAAAAAGGTATCTCCAGGGAATAAGTCACTGGTCTTGCAAAATTCTATCATGCAATCTCTAGCAATTTCTATCACCAAGGCCATATTTTCCAATTTTCGATCGTTCTTCCTTGTTCCCAACATTTGCATGCCTATCATCGGGAATTGTCAATGCACCGTGTTTGCCTGTTTGATCAATTTCCGCCTGCAGAAGTTGTTTCTTCATCTTTATTTGGCATGAGTGGTTGGTGTGTAAATTTGAATAATGGTCATATTAACGTATCTTCCTGTGTAGGCATATGCATATTATCCTACCGCTGACAGCATTGTGCTTCAGAATAGATTGTGAAGTGTTCTAATGCAATGCCAATCCTCTTCAATTTGTCTTCCCCGGTATAACAGGCCATATAATTGTTCCATTCTAAACGGCCAATATCAGCTCCTATCAGCTCACCATTGCCTAGAATTCCTATCTTCTAATGTTCCATTTCATTTTTGATAACTTCTAATTTTCCTAGATGCATACTTCCTACCCCCCATGTTCTGATTACTAATGTGTAGCTGTCCTTTCTCATTTTGAGACATGCCACATTAGTCAATGAAGGTTCCGAATGCTGTACTTTGTCCCCATCATTAAGCTCCTCTGCTGTCAGCTTTTCATACTGTGGGGGTTTACGTGTTGCTGTGATGCTGGAAACTATGCCACTGAGATTTCAAATGTCAGGATTTACTCATGGTAGACAAGATCCCGTGGAGGTTCCAGACAATGACAGACTACAAAGACTCAGAAACTGAACATACTGCCACTGAGTCCATCCTAACTCATAGTGACCTTATAAGACAGGGTAGAACTGCCCTTTAGGGTTTGGGTTTCTGAGACTGCAACTTACCTGGCAATCTACTTCTTTTTTTTTTTTTCAAGTGATAGCTTTTTTTTTTTAATCATTTTATTAGGGGCTCATACAACTCTTATCACAATCCATACACATCAATTGTGTAAAGCGCATTTGTACATTCATTGCCCTCATCATTCTCAAAACATTTTCTCTCCACTTAAACCCCCGACATTAGGTTCTCATTTTCCCCTCCCTCCCCGCTCCCCCCTCCCTCATGAGCCCTTGATAATTTACAAATTGTTATTTTGTCATATCTTTCCCTGTCCGACGTCTCCCTTCACCCACTTTTCTGTTGTCTGTCCCCCAGGGAGGAGGTCACATATAGTTCCTTGTAATCGGTTCCCTCTTTCCTACCCACTCTCCCTCTACCCTCCCTGTTTCGCCACTCACTCCACTGGTCCCGTAGGGCTCCTCTGCCCTGGATTCCCTGTATTTCCACTTCCTATCTGTACCAGTGTACATCCTCTGGTCTAGCCAGACTTGCAAGGTCGAATTCGAGTCATGGTAGAGGGAGCGGGGAGGAAACATTTAGGAACTAGAGGAAAGTTGTATTTTTCATCGTTGTTACATCGCACCCTGACTGGCTCGTCTCCTCCCCAAGGCCCCTCTGCAAGGGGGCAATCTACTTCTAAGAAAACTCTAGCCTGTTAAAATGCTGTGACTAATAGTAGAACATTATCTGATGTAGTGCAGGAAGACAGGCCCCTCAGGTTGGAAGGCACTCCGAATAGGGCTTGGGACCAGCTGCCTTCTCAAAGTAGAGTGGACCGTAATAACTTCAGGGGAGTAAAGTTGTATGCCACCCCGTTGGGGGTCGAGCAACCCTTTCACAGGGGTCCCCCAATTCATAACAGTAGCAAAATTACAGTTATGAAGTACCAATGAAAATAATTTTATGGTTGGGGGGGTCACCACAACATGAGGAACTGTATCAAAGGGTCACGACATTAGGAAGGTTGAGAACCACTGTTGTATGCATTATTTAGTCCAGCAAATGCTATGTCAAACACAGCTATTTCCATGTGTTAACTCATAGATCTTGGAAAGACTTTGCTGATCACGTTACATGCAGCAGACCTGATGGACAATGAGCCTGGTGGCCACATTGTCCATGAGAGTCTATCCTCCAGCCCTGCCTCCTATCTGCTCCCTTCTCCACCTTTGAACTTGGACTCTTTCTTGAAGCCCCAACAACTTGTCAGTGGAAGCATCCTTCTTGGAGTAGGCTCTAGCCCATCATCTCCATTCCCCTCCCAGAGCAATCTGGCTGCACTGGAGACTCCTGGGGTGTGTCTGGTTCCACCCCCCTGGAGTGTCTGAGCACCTTGACAGCAGTGGCCCTGTGTCCCCAGCTTTCAGCACCGCACCTGGCACATAGTGAGGGTTCACAATGTGTTGGATTCATATGCATGCATTAAGTGCTTTCGCAGATTTTGTACCTATAAACAGATTCTTTTTGCTTTTATGCTCTTTACCTTTTAGGTGAATAGAACAGCTAAGTTAGAGGTTGAGTTGATTTAGTTACAATTTCTGTGTCCTGCCATAAAGTAGAAATTGTTTTCCAATTTCCACTCTTCCAACCTAAATACCCCCCCCTTACACACACACACATACCCTAAATTTTAAACTCCTAAATTCCAAAACAAGAGAAGTAAGGGTGTCAGCAATATCCAATCATATTCTTATTTTATTTTTGTGTTTCCATTTGATAGGGCAGGGCTCACTTGACAATTCCTCTTATCCTTGTTGTTTCCTAATTATAATAACTCCCATGCATTAATTTATACCTAGTTCTTTTTACTACAGTGAACTCTGTGTCTGACACTGGATCTTCCTGATTAGAGTTGTATTGTTCCCCTAGAATTTTATTTTTAACAATTTGTACAACCACTATAAATCTCCCTGGAATTTGTTATAAGGAGTCTTTTTCTCTTTACCAAAACAACAAAAAAAGAGCCTAATTATTCCTGGCTAGGCTTGTCAAAACCCAAAAGTCTTGTGTCAATATATCTCTGAGAATGGTAATCCATAGATGGTTGGTTACATGGGCAAACCGGGCTGTTGAGCTAAGGATTGCAGTCTGAGACCAGAGTCCGATTCTGTTTCCAGATCAAGAGCCAGCTGAACGATATGTGGCCCTGAGGCTTCCCTGGCCCCACCCCAGGCCCTGAGCACTCTAACAAGTGTCTCAAGGTTGCTCGTGATGAGGGGATCTTAGTCTTTGGCTCCTGTCTTAGTTATTTTGTTTAGCTCTAACAGAAATACCAAAAGTGGGGTTTGGGGGTGGGGGCTTGAACAAACAGAAATGTATTCTTTCACAGTTTAGGAGCCTGGAAGCCCAAATTCAGGCACCAGCTGGAGATGAAGGATTTCTCTCTGTTGACTGAAAGTTTAGGAGAAAGGTCATTGCCTTTCAGCATCTATAGGACCAGGCTTCTTGAAGCTCTCCGTTTGTCTTGACATCAATCTTCCCATATGTTGAACAGGTTCCCGGCACAGGGACCTGGGGTCCAAATGACCACTCTGCTCCTGGCGCTCCTTAGTGGTACTGAGATTCCTCTCCTCGCTGCCCTTTCTTTAACTCCTTTTATGTCTCCAAGGACATTGATTCAAGATACAACCTAATTTGGTATATTGCATCCTGCCTCATTAACGTAATCGCCTTGACGCCTGCCTCATTAACTTCATAGAGCTGACGACTTACAACACATAGGATAATTACATCAGATCACAAAATGGAGAATAATTACATAATACTGAGACCCATAGTCTAAGCAAGTTGACACATATTGGGGGGTAAAGGGGACACAACGCAATCCATAACAGCTCCCGATTCTTGCTTCTCTTCCCCTACTCACATGTGTGCCTCATCCTTTTTGTATCCCTGCTAGTGCTTTGTGGCCCCATGTCCTTGGCTACTGCCCCCTGAAAAGCTCATATTTGGAAAAAAAATCTAATAATCATATCTATAGGGTCCCTATGCATTGAAATCGACTCAATAGCAATGAAGTATCTTGAGCTCCAAAGGACAGTTCAGGTTCAATGATTTACATGCCTCAGTGTTAACAGCAGACAAAGACTCAAACCCTAGGAGTAACTTTCTAATGCCGGAAGTCAGGCCTCAATAAAGCCACGACAGATCCATTTAAGAGAGCAAGAAGAATGCTTGATTAGAACTACCCAAGCATTAGAAAACATGTACTCCAGCCACGGGACACCATCTTCAGGCCAGAGAGTGAGCGTGCAGTAAAAGGCAAGCCCAGGGGGAGCAGGGTACCTGGTAGATAGCATAGCCGATGCTCAGCATGCCTTGCCCTAGCTTCTTCCGTCGCCTGCGGTTTTTCTGCATCAGACCAAGCAGCACAGTACAGCCGAGTTCACTGCTGCTCTCCTCCTGGCCATCGTCCACCTCGTCCAAGTGGATTTTGAACTGGGGGTTGGTCCAGTAAGTGGCTGGAAGTCACGTGGTGGCCGCCGTTCCCCGCACAGGGGTGAGGACATGGGAAGAGGAAAACAAAAAGGGAGAGCCTTGGTCATCCCACCGACAGTATGATTCTCGGCAAATTGGAGGACTGTCTGGGTGTCGCAGAAGGTGAAGATGCTGAGCTGCTAACCAAAGTCCACCCAGAGGTGCCTCAGATGAAAGACCTGAAGATATGTTCTGAAAGATCAGATAAGAAATCTTAGGGCGCACAGTTTGACTCTGACCCGTATGGATTGTCTTGAAATGACATGGTCTCAAAACGGCTGGTTAGCCACGAACCGTGAGCTTAGTGGTCAAGCGTTAGACCTTTGCACCATGCAGGGACCTACTGATTAGAAAACAATACTGGGAACGTTTTCTTTACAATGTGCCTAGGCATGGCTTCTACCCTACTCACACACACACACACACACACACACACACACACACACACGAGTCCTAGAGCACTGGGAAGTTTTGCACATTTGATTAAGCAACAGACCAGGCATGGTTGATTGGAGACGTTCCAGGCACCTGATGCCTGGACTCTACTGCGTCCTATTGGGAAGGAACCTGCAAGTCAGCCCACAAATGGCGGCCATCTCCTTTTTCTGGGCTCCCTGGTCCGTGAAGATAAAGCCACCTCCTGAGGAACGGAGATTGCTGAGCTTAAAAATATGGCACTGGCATTGATGAGGGCAACGGCCGGAGGAGCCTAGCTTCACAGGGCTTAGGAATTTGAATCCCCAGGCTGACTGACACCTGTCTTCCCCTGGGAGGGAGGGCTTCAGCTCCAAGCCTAGCAGCCTGCGAGCTGCTCCTCCATCCGTCGGCCCCCCACGTCACCTCACTTGATGGCTTCGGTGTTGCAATCCACAGACGTGAGGCACTCTCCAGGGGGAAGTCATTCAATAATGCATGAGGAAGAATAATGGGCAATTAAGAAGCATTCCTGCCATACCATCCGTGAGTATTTAAAGAGTCCTTTGTTTAAAAGGTAATTTTTTTCTTAATCTCTCAAAAGAGTGACTACACAAGCGAAGGCACAGAGGGGTCAAATGGATTCTCCAAGGGCACACAGCAGTTCTGTGACAGGACTGTGCAGCAGAGCGTAATTGAAGAAGACCAGTCTGACAGGCCTTTCCTACTAAGGCCTCAGCCATGCCAGCATGACATGACCTGAGGAGAGAAGGATGGCGGGGCTCCCCTCGTGTCCTCTCAAGTAGGGTGTCATTTGGAGAAATAACAAAGGCACTCACAGGAGACCAAGAGCCACTGGCTAAGGTCTCTTCTTAACAATACAATGAGTTGTTCAATTTTCCCTTCCCTGGATCTATACTTCTAGATGTGGTTTGGGTTTTGTTTTAATTTAGAGCACAAGTGTATGGATTCTAAAGCCAAATGTCTATAGATTCCCGCAGAGACAAAGAAAATTCTGTAATCTTCCACATTTGCATCATTACCAAAAGGCAAGAGCAATCCGTCTCTTCCTGACAGCTAGCTGGCAGCCCAGATGGAGTGGTGATTGGGCACAGGCAGTTACCTTGGGCACCCCCTGCAGTTCTGAGCTCCCCAAATGATCCAGGCATATTTCCCATGCATCTCTAAGAGCTTGCAAATGGCGAGCATATTTTAATTTGTCCCAAATGGGACATTACCGCAACCCCTGCATGTTGCTTACTCCTTAACAGGACTGGAGGAAGAGAGCAGGCCCTAAAAAATCACATGTCCCGTCAATGAGCATTGGCATAATGGTGACTGTGAGTCAAAATCAACTCGACAGCAGTGGGTTTGGTTTGGGGTTTTGGTTTACGCCATTTTACAAAGCAATTTCCTACCCGGTGGGGGCTACAGTGCCCATGGCGACCCAGTGAGGTTGGAAAGCCAGTCTCACACTGTCCTGGGTTTTTTTTGGGGGGGGTGGGGAGGAAATGAGGACACAGAGCCTCAGATAAGAGAAATGACCTCCCTAGGGTCCCTGTGCTAAACAACGAAAGCAGAAAATGGACTTGGCTCCTACTGGACACGGTCTTATCTCTGCAGCTCGAAACAGCAGCGTGGCTTGGGTGGGAGGGGGAAGGGGGGACCTTGCCAAGACCTCAGGGGTGTGCCCAAGTGGGTTTATTATAAGGTCACTGCCAACAGCTCAGAGGTGGCCTGGGACGGCCCTGTCCGTCATCCACCATCACTGGTCAACATCAAACCCGGGATGGGGCAGAAGGCGGGGTGGTCGCGGTGGAGAGAGCCGGATCGTATGCCTTCGTCCTCCTTAGAAAGGCGGGTCCGTTGTCAGAGATTTTCAACAGGCTTCGCCTCACGAGGCTCACCCTAGGAGGAGCCTGCAGAGGTATTAGTGAGGGTTTGTGACCCACGAGGATTCCCACCTTTCAGAAGATGAGGTCCAGGGTTAGTGCAGAGGCAAGATTTGTGCCACGCCCCGGCAGTGGGTCCTGAAAGTCCCAGGGTGGGCAGTCCCCTGCCCCAGTGTGTGCCTCTCCACCAGCGACTCAGGCACAAACCCAAAGCAGAGAGGCTGCCCTGAGACTGGTGGTCTGGTTGAGCCTGCCGCAGTCCACAGACCCCGCGGTTTGATGGGGATGGTGGAAGCCCACCAGTGCAGGGTGCAAGGAACGTGGTTAGTAGCAAGCAGTTCACCCTTCAGGAACAGGTGGGGGAAGCGATCTCAAAGTACACACACAGAAACTGAAGGACCTCAACTAGCCACCATTGCCGCCCTGGCCCTCCAAGCCCAGGAAAGAACCAGGAGCACCCCCAAGCACCTGGAACCAGAGAGCCAACTCCAGAGGCATTCTTCCAAGAGTCTTCAAAGAGGGGCAGCAAGCCCTGGCACCAGATAGGCCCTGCACCTTACCTGGGTAGTTCTGACAGCCCCCGGCGGTGGAGCCCCGCACCCAGCGGCCGGTGAATAGGGCCAGGTTCCACTTGTGCACCTCCTCGCTGGTCAGTGAGTCCGGGGACAAGTTGCAAATCTCCAATCTAGAGAACTGTCTCAAGAAATCTGTAAAGGACATCCTGGGGAGGTGGAAGAACCAGAGGGCTCCCTGTCAGGAGAGGTGGGCTGGAAAAGTGGCGACACTCAAGCTACTCGTCCCAGGGAGGAGCCAGTGAGTGGCCTCAGAGGCTCTTGGCCAAGTGGAAACGTTTCTAGGTACATACAGTCCCCTGATCCAAGTATTCAGATACTATGGACCACAGACACCCTCCCTACTCTTCCTCACCCCTTCTTAGAATGCATGCCTCATCTCCCTAACCACTCAGGCACAGTCTGACCCCTAAACTGAAGGTCAAATGGACGGTGCCCCTACCGTCATGTAAACTCACAAAAATGTTGGTTCCTATTTAATTAATTTTTATTGTCATTCTTAGCACAACCCCCCCTCCTTTTTTTGTATTAACTCCTCATTTCTCCCAGCCCCCTTGGTAACCATCAGTATCCCTGGGAGCCACCAATCCATTTGTCTCAATGGATTTCCCTCTTCTTGCTATTTCATACTTGAAACCAAATAATATTTGTCCTTTTGTGACTTACCCATTCCACTCAGCAGAATGCTTCCAACGTTCGTCCATGCCATAGTATCTATGGGGACTTTAACTCCTTATGAGTCCAGGCAGTGGTTGTGCGTTGAGCTGTGAACCTCCATCAAGCTCAACATCTCAAGATCACCAGCCACTCCACAGGAGAGTGTATTTCTAGTCCCATAAAGAGTTACAATCCACCTGTCCTAGAGGGTTGCTATGAGTCAGAATTGACTCAATGGCAGTGAAAGGTCCCATTCTCTGGACATACCGCATTTTGTCTACCCATTCTTCTGTTGAGGAGTACTCGCATGGTTTCCACCTTTGAGTAACTGTAACAAGTGCTGAAATGAACACTGGTGGACAAGTGTCTGTGCTGCCCTTCTCGTCAATGTGTTGGGGGATATATAACTAGATATATAACGAGGGACCCTAGTAATGTAGTGATCACAGTAAGGTGGCTAACTCCAAGGTCAGCAGTTCAAAACCACCAGCAGCTCCACAGGAAAATGACAGGACTTTCTACTCCCATGAAGAATTCCAGTCTCGGCTATTCACTGGGGCAGGTCTACCCTGTCCTGCAGGGTTGCTGTGAGTCAGCACAGACGCGACGGCAGTGAGTTTGGTTTGGGTGTATGGGAGCTCTAACTTTTTGAAGAAGTGCCAAAGTGGATTTCACAATGGTGGCTCCGTTTTACATTCCCACCAGCAGTCCTCACTCCATTCTTCGTGATGTCCAGCACAGAGAAGCCACTACCTCCTCTCACTTGCACTGTATACAAGGGTGTCCTTACATTCTGAGGGTCAGCCGGAGCTCAGAGACTTCTGGACTAGACAGTAAAGAGAGACCAGCCGCGCCCTTACTTGGTAGGAAAGACACAGAAACTGGGGGAGACAGGTAGGTGGCTAACTCCTACAGAGGGCCCACAGAGCTTGATTTAAATGCTTTCGACCTGCTGCTATAGAGGTGGGTTTAGACAAGGGCAAAGAGAGGAGAACAATTAAGCTCCCCCATACTCTAGAAGCTTGTCACATTCATGGGCCCCTTAGAGACACTCCCCCCCAGATCAGAACCTGGACAGAACCCGTGGCCACAGGGCAGCTCTCCAGAGGCAGTGCTCTCTCACCAGAACTCCCCATCCTCAGCCTTCTTGACCAGCTCCTCCTTCCACCTGGGATCGATGTGATTCCACTCTGGCGCGCTGGAGGCAAACAGAGCAGAGTGCCAGCTGTTTACTGCAGCTCACTTTCCCCCAAAGGGCTGGGATGCTGAAAAGGGCCCGGAAGGGGCATGAAGATGGTATGTGGTAGCAAAAGTCTGGGGAAGGGATGCAGACCGGGTCATGGGCTCTCAGAGGGTGACATGGAGCAGGGACGCTGAGGCCTTAGGTAATGCACTTGCCACTGACCAAAAGGCTGGCAGCTTAAAAACACCCAGAAGCAGCTGAATAGAAAAGCCTAGTGAGCTACTTCCGGCCAATCAGCCACTGAAAGCCCTACGGGAGGGGCCAGATGGGAGGCAGAACAGAAGCGTACATTCTCATGGACTCTAGATTTTCTGGAGCTGGGTGAATGCCATCAACTATTGCTCTGAGCTCATCTTAGGAACCTGGTGTTGTAGCGGAGTACGAGTTGGGCTGCTAACTGCAAGGTCAGCAGTTTGAAATGACCAGTCACTCCTTGGGAGAAAGAAGAGGCTTTCTAAACTCATAAAGAGTTACAGTCTAAGAAACCCACAGGGGCAATTCGCCTCTGTCCTATAAGGAGGCTATGCATCGGAATCAACTTGATGGGTCAGTGAGTTTGGTTTTGGCTGGAATCTTGAAACCCTAAACCCAAATTGTCCCCCCTGAAGCGCTCTTGAAACCATAGTTTATCTTAGCTAGTCAAGAATATCTGCTCTGAGCATTGTGTCTTCTAAGCGCTACTCTGAAAACCAAACTCACTGCCATCGAGCGCATTCCGACGCATGGAAACCATACAGGACAGGGTAGAACTGCCCCTGTGGGTTTCTGAGACTGTAACTCTTCATGGGAGTAGAAAGCCTCCTCTTTCTCCCACGGAGTTACTGGTGGTTTCGAACTGTTGACCTTTCATATCGCAGCCCATCAGTATGCTACCAGGGCTCCTCCAGCTCTATCTCTAGGGGATCAAATTGACCACAGTCGTTCAAAGATGAGCTAGGGCAGTGCGTGTTGGTTAGTGAGGGAGGACTTCTCAGAAAAGCAGGAGAGAGGATTCGCAACTTGAAGAAGGCCATCAATCTCACTAGGCTGTGATGTGGACACTGTGGAATCGCCAGGTTCTCTGCTGTGGACATTGTCAACCACGGAAAACCAAGGAGAAGAAAGCGGACCCTATACAGCCCAGTTCTGCTCTGATGTGAGACGTGGCGAGCAGGGGTTGTGGTTGCCTCCATGGGGTTCTTTTTAGGCAAAATTTACATTCCCAATTATGATGCCCTTGATCCCAAGAATGGGGATGCCCAAGACCGGAGTTGTGGGAATTCCTGTCGTAAGACAGCTACGCACCGCAGAATCAATTAGTGAATTATCGTCCTGACCATCACTGCATGGAGGAGTCATGTCCACTTCCCGAGTCTGCAAGAATGACAGTGAGGCCCAGTTTATGGCAACTTCCCTGAAATGATGTCACCGGGGAGACCTCCTGCTGGTGGCCTTTCCATAGCCATGCTCACTCCCTCTCCAGGCACTTTATTCAAATGCCATCTCCAGCTACCTGACCTTTAGAAAGTTAGGTTTTCCTGAAATATGTGTTCAATGTCTGCATAGCTGTGCAGGATCAAGATTCATTTTTAAAAATACCCTTCCTGCTGGGTACTTTCAGGTAGACCAGAACATCCTGACTCCCCTGCATAAAACCTAAGACACACACAAACCGCTTCTCTGTGTGTGGCTGTGTACACTTGTCTGTCTGGTATCTCTTGCCTGGCCATTAAATTCCTTGGGGGATCAGGCTGCAGAGTTTCCAGGCCCTCTTTATTCACCGACATTGTATTTGATCAGAATCTGGGCAGCACAGCAGGTAAAGCATCAAGCTGCCAATGGAAATGTTGGGGATTTGAACCTACCAGCTGCTCCTGATGAGACTTTCTGCTCCTATAAAGATTTACAGCTTTGGAAACTCTGGTGAGCAACTGTACTTTGACCTACGGGTTGCTAGGGAAAGAATAGACTTGGTGGCAATAAGGTTTTTTGGTTTTGTTGTGGGAGTATACGGGGAATGGGGCATGGGGTGTGGTTGTTGTTCAATTGATCAGAGCTGAGTTTCAGAATGTGCTTGTTACACACAAGGTAAAAGAACATGCTGGAGAATTTTAGAGCTGGCCTAAATCTCCCAGTTGATTTTCAGAAAGGTAAAAAGAATAAAGTGCAAAGGACATTCATAGAGGCCTAAATACAGGCATGTACATATGTAAATACATCTATAACTAGAGGGGACTAGACATTGGGCCTTGACTCAAGTACTCCCTTAACACAAGAACCCTTTGCTCTAACAATCCGCCATTCTGTGATGCTCACCTTCCCTACACGATTGCTGAAGACAAAGCGGGTGCATAAGCAAATGTGGTGAAGAAAGCTGATGGTGCCCGGCTATCAAAAGATATAGTGTCTGGGGTCATAAAGGCTTGAATATAAACAAGTGGCCATCTAGCTCAGAAGCAACAAACCCCACATGGAAGAAGCACACCAGCCTGTGTGATCATAAGGTGTCAATGGGATCAGGTATCAGGCATCTAAGACCCAAAACAAAACCATACCCAAGGTGAATTGTGGGGTGGGGTGGGGCATGGAGTAGAGACCTAATGCCCATCTGTAGACAATTGGACATCCTCTCTCAGAGGGGTCACAGGGAAAAGATGAGCCAGTCAGTGTGCAGTATAGCACCGATGAAATACACAACTTTCCTTTAGTTCCTTGGTGCTTCCTTCACGTCACTATCATGACCTCAATTCTACCTTACAAATCGGATTAGACCAGAGCATGCACACTGCTATAGATAAGAGCCCGAAAAACAGGGAATCCAGAATAGATAGACCTCTCAGGGCCAACAATGAGAGTAGAGATACCAGTAGGATTAGGGTGTAGGAGTGGGGGAGGGGAATGGGGAATCGATCACAAGGGTCAATCTAGAACCCCCTCCCAGGGGGGATGAATAACAGAAAAGTGTGTGAGGGATGACAGATGATGTAAGATATGGAAATAATAATCTATAACTTATCAAAGGTTCATGAGGGAGGGTGGCAGGGGAGGAGGAAGAAATGGGTAGCTGATATCAGGGGCTCAATTGGGAAGAGAATGCTTTGAAAATGATGATGGCGGCATATGTGCAAATGTGCTTGGCACACTGGATGAATGGATGGATTGTGTTAAGAGATGTAAGAGCCCCCAATATAAGTATTTAAAAAAAAGAATTACTGTCTATAGGGAAAAAAATTACATGAACAATGATGAGTACAAGAAAGAAGAAAATGTTCTAGAATTGAATATAGTAACAATTGTACAACTCTTCTTGATATGATTGAATTATTGAATTGTATGGCATATGGATGAAGTGTTAATAAAGCTGTTTAAAAATTTTTTTAAAGAATAAAGTGCAAAGACAGTAGACTGAGCTTAGCATCATTCCCTCAGAGACCTCCCCATCCCCAAACGGGCAGCACCCGCCTCAGCTGTCACCCCGCCCATTCGTGGGCATTGCCCGCCTGTTCCAGTGGCAAAGAGCAGGTGATAGCGGCAAGGTGATCATCAAGTCCTTTTGGCAGCCTGCCAAATAGCTGCCTGTTAAAAATGGCCAAAACGTGGGGTTTTATTCAGTCACACCAGCCTTTTAGGGTGGTGGGCAGTATTGAAGTTTGGGGGGTTCTTCGATCCTAGCAACAAAACAAGAAGTCAGTAACCCTTTTGTCTAGGGCCCTGCGGCCATGTCTTCCTTCATGCCGCAACCCTGAGGGGACAGTCACAGATGGAGCCACAAGGATGCTGTAGTGGCATGTCGTCACGCTTCTTCCAGGGCCCCTAACTGGCATCCCTGAGTAAGGCCAGCACTGAGGGCTACACTTGAGATGCACTGCCATCTTGCCGCATGTCACCACGACAGTTCTGGTTCGTGCCAGCCCCGCAGGACCGAGGAGAACTTCCTCACAGGGTTTCCAAGGCTGTCACCTTTATGGGCCAGGTCAACCAGGTCTTGCTCCTGCAGAGCAGCTGGTGGGTTCAAACCAACCTTTTGGTTAGCAGACAAGCATTGAACCATTGTGCCACGAGTATTCAAAAAACAGGATCTCGCGGCCTTTGAGTCCATTGGGACCCACAGAGACCCCCTAAGACAGGGCAGAACTGTACCTCTGGCTTTCAAAGGCCGTAATCTTTACACGCGAAGAAAACCTCTTCTTTCTACCACAGAGCGGCTGGTGAGTTCAAACTGTTCACCTTGTGGTTTGCAGCCCAACTCAGAATCTACCATGCCACCAGGGCCCAGGGGTGTATTGAAAATTGGTGATTATCTGGACTAGTAGCATATCTGGAGGAGCACTGCTAGCCTCAAGGTCAGCAGTTTGAAACCTCCAGCCATTCCATGGAAGAAACAAGAGGCTTTCTCCTCCCATAAAGATTTAAAGTCTTGGAAACCCACAGGGGCAGTTCTACCTTGTCCTTTGGATTGCTATGGTCCGGAGTTGACTCCAAGGCAGGGAATTTGGAGTTTTTTGAGCCTCCCCGGTGGCTCTGTGTTGATGATGCTGGCGGATTCTAGCTCCTTCTCTAACTTGAGGCCACCTCCCTAGAGCTAGCTCCATGCCTCCCCTCCTCCTGCCCCTGGAGACAATGAGTCCCTGCCCCTTGGCATCAGGGGAGGGCCCAGTGGGAAGCCAGGTTATCCCTAGCTGACTTTCTCTCACACCTGTGGAGAGGCCTGCCCAAGAAGCGCCTCTTGGGTCATTAATGATCTTGTCAGAGAAGATCAATATGTGCCCCGGTGGCCAGCTCTCCTCCCATTCATCATCCTGCTATGGCCTGTGGGCTCCTTGAGCCAAGCTCCATTTTCCAGTGTACTTGCCACTCGGTGCTGAGAGCTTTGGCCTTTGTCTGAGTGACCAGAGCGTGTGGGTGCAAAGAATCCGATGGAGAGTGATCGATTTGCCCTTTGGAGCACCACAGAGCAGTAGGGAAGAGACAGGCAAAAAGCCTTCTGAGCTAAGCAAAGTTTGACTGAGCTGCCAGACGTCCAAATGCCAGAGCATTGACATCCAGAATGCAAGACTTAAGCGAAGTGATTTTTGTTTGCTTCTTCCAGGTTGGATCCAGGCACTCCTTGTTTTAAGCCTCCTGTGTGATTTGTGGGCAGACCATGCTGCTGAATGCCCTGTCACACCAGCCTTGCCCTCACTGTCTCTCACAGAACACCCCCCTCCCCCCACCTGGAGAGTCGAGGGCTGGGGCTTGGGGAGAGGACCTACTTACTCATCACTCCAGGCTCCCATCCACTCCACGTTGCCCCACGGGTTCCTGAGTCGGATCAGCTTCTCTGGATGGCCACGGAAATCCACCTGCACATCACACACACACACACACACACACACACACACACACACGCGCGCCAGTCAGGTGCTGAGTTTCTAAACTCCCGCTGTCCTGCATTTGCATCTGAGCCACTGTGAATTTGCATAAAATTGCTCCAACATCCCTAAACAAGCGCACTTTTATTTTCTCTTAACACATGTTTTCAGGCTTTGCTAAGTGCTCTATTTTTCCCAGTTGGATTGAATAAATAAAGAGTGAATCTAGCACCCAAACAAGCTTCTGTCTGCTTTCACTTAGATTTAGATTTCACCGTTCACTGAGATGAACTCCGTCCCAATATGGGGGACCTAGTGGTAATCCCCACCACCGTCGGCCAGGGTGTCATTCTGGGGCAGCCGGAGCCTGCAAAGAAGCTGCAAGCCATGCAGCCACTGTTGCCGGGTCTTCGTGGATGCTTCCGTTTCAAAAGGATGGCTCCCAGATCCTTAAGACCTAGGGCCTTCCTGGGTTGTAGCATTGCCGAGGTAGTCTCTTGAGGGTGCAAACAAGTAACAAGCTCAGCTGCCAACTCAAAGGTTGAAGGTTCAAGCCCTCTTGGAGGTACTTCCAAAGAAAAGCCTGGTGATCTGCCCCCCACCCCCACCCCCACCCGAAATCAGCTCCCAAACCCTCCAAAGCACAGCTGGCCTCAGACACAGGAGTCAGAATGGACAAACCGGAGAAGCTCTGGCCAAAGGTTGAAATACTTCACATACATCTCAAACAGGCAGAGAAAGAATTAATAGTTCCAAGTTTTCTGAAGAAGATGGCCGAGGTGCAGGGAGCAGGGATTCTCTCTCCCTGTTGCACTAGGGGAAATGAACCTTTTTCTCCTTTACGATGTGTTTGTGTGCCCTCACAACAATCACTGTCAGTCCGGCACATCCCTGTGCGTGCGTTTGCATTCTCAAACACACATGCGCACGCACACGCACACAAGTTGTTAGGACCCCAGGGCTGGCCTTTCTTTTGTATCTTCCATCATACCTCAGCCGAATGTTCGTATAGGGCTCCATTCATACGTCCTCCATTCATATCTGTGAACTGACTTGCTCAAAGAGCATGTTCATGAAACACACACACACACCGAGTGAGTGTTCAGCTCATTTTCATCGATAGCCAGAGTGAGCACGCCCATCGTGTTTCCCTTTTTGCCTGGGCTGTCAGGAACCCCAGAGTAGAATTAATCTCTCCAGTGCAGCACTGTCTTTAGCCCAGATGGCCCGATGCATTTCAACAAAACCGTGTGATTTTATCGTCTCTCTGCCTCTTTTCGGAAACAGGCAGACTAGGGTCTGTGAAAACCGTGAGGAGCACAGCTTAAGCCTTCCTTTGGGGCTGCAGAGTGAGACACGGCCGTGTTCCTTCCCATTCCCAGGCTCTGCCCTGAGCGTATTACCACCTCTTCCCTTCGGGGACCCTGGGGCTTCCACTGTTTTCCTGACACATCCATCCTTGTTGGACCGTGTGCAGGATGTAACTCACAATCTCCGCAGGGTTTCTCCTTCCGCTCAGCTACTCTCAGAGGGGAGAACCCGCAGAGGCCTAGCTGCCCTCTGTCTCCCACGTGACTAAGCGTCAGAAAGTCCCGTCCTGGTCAGCAGCAAGAACCGGCTCTTGTGTCCCAGAGACTGTCCGCAGCAGGGAACAGGGAGCTGAGAGGCCAGTTTGGACCCTCTGAGTCCTGGACTCCACCGCTCTGTCTCTCAAATAGCCCCTGGGACTCCAGCATATAGGATGACTCTATGGACTCCCCGGCCCGGCCCAGCCCAGCTTTACCTCTTCAGCGCCCGTGACAGAGTACGCGTGACTCTTGACCAGCTTCCAGCTGGTGACAGCCTCTGTTTCAGCAGCACTGGAGACCTGGGTTGAGAAGAAAGTCCACTCAGGCAGCTAACCTTGACCTCACCAAGGCCAACCTGATGATGCCTCCCAAGGATGTGCTGTTCGGCCTCTGGGGTGGGACCCAGACAGGGACTGGGAGTTCAGGTGTGGCACCGAGCCTCAGGTAAACAGAGCCATCTCCAACGGACCCTGCTTAATGAGGCCTGGTGGCATGGTGGTTACACATTGAGCTGCTAACCAGCTACCAGCCACTCTGGGGGAGGAAGAGGAGGCTTTCTACTCCTGTAAAAAGGTACAGTCTCAGAAACCCACAGGGAGCACTTCCACTCTGTCCTGTAGGGGCACGTTGAGTTGGCGTTGACTCGACGGCAGTGAGAGTTCTGTCGGTTTTGTTTAGTTCTAAGGAGGCCATAAGGTCCAGAAAGGAGCCCTGGTAGTATAGTGGTTACACATTGGACTGCCCTCTGCATGGTCAGCAGTTCGAAACCACCCCCTGCTTCTTGGGACAAAGATGGGTTTTTCTACTCCCGTGAAGTTACAGTCTCACAACTACCTACCTGGGCAGTTCTTCTCTGCCCTACAGGGTGGCTGTGAGTTGGAATCAACTCAATGGCAGGGAGTTTGGTTTGGTAAGTCCAGGCAGAGTGCTGTGTGACTGCCCCAACACACACACACACACACACACACACATACACACAGCCCTCCCAGTACACATGGGGGCCACAGAAACACCGACCTCTCTCTGTCACACACACACACACACACACATACACACATCCCCCCCAGCACTCACGGGGAGCAGAGAAACACCAAACACACACACACACACACACACACACACACACACACAGCACAGAGACACTGTCCTGGCTCACATCAATGGAGCAGCCAAGCAGAGACCCAGCCCGAAGGGCCTTCCTAACGGTCTGGTACAGACTGGCTGGCGGCTTCTTCAGGTCATAAAACTCAGAGATGCCTCCCGTGAAATCCTCAAAGCCCTCCACTGTGGACCCTCCAGCGAGAGCTTCATAAGAACCATTGAGCCTGTGGGGAAAGAGGAAACACGCCCTTAGCTAGGCCGGCAAGGGGGCTCCCGGGGCTGGGGGACAGAGCTCGGGACACACTGCGGGCCCACTCGGCACATTACCAGCAACAGGTCTCCCACTCCTTTTAGAAAGCAAAGTGCAGCCCTTGCTTCCTGGGTCTCTGGGACCTGGGGCCACAGGTAGGGGTGATGGAGACCGTCTCTCAAGACTGAGAGGCATCCACCCAAGGATAGCATGGGGAACAGAGTTGGAAAGGAACTCCAGCTGCAGAAAAGGGGTATCGGGAAATGAAACTAATCAAGGGAAGGCCAGAGAAGGCTTTCAGTTGGCCATGCGTGTAAAAAGGGGAGAAGACGGTGGAGACCTCTTTGGGTTTCATACATTTATCATTCTTTGGAAGTTCCCAATGGCCTAAGCACTTCCCTTGGTTTGAAAGAGGAAGTACTCAGGGGCCCAGAAGCGAGGTGGCTTCGGGTGAATGAAACTCACACACTCATGCCCAAATGTGTTTCTGCCTGGTTCCTCAGGGCACTTTCTCTTCATTGAACTGGGGTCCCTGGTGTTATGGGAGGTGGGTGAGAAGTGGGTGAGACCCTTTGGGGAGAGCCTGGCTTCTCCTACACCCCTAACCAGCCCCACTTACTTAGCATAGGCCTTCTCCAGCAGGGCGCTCCAGAACTCTCTACCTTCTTCGGAGTGCAGGAAGAGCAGCTCCCTGTCCTTGGTGGGCAGTCTGTCGTCCACCACCACCTCCACCCACTCGCCGTACTGCCAGAACTGCGGGCACAAGACACAGCTCGTGGGAATATGCCGGCGGAAAGAGCAAGTCCCAGCTGCGGCCCGCAGAAAAGGACATTGTGGCCAGCAACGTTCCAGTCTTGAACAGTTACTGGACACTAGTAGCTGCTTTGTCCGTGCATCTAACTCAGAGCCAAGCCCACTGCCATAGAGACCCGTCTGACGCACAGTGACGTGGAACACAAGGTAGAACTGCTCACAGCAGTTCTTAGAGGCTCACGGGATTTCTGAGACTGTAAATCATTTCGGAAGCACACAGTCTCATTTTCCTCCCACTGAATAGCTAGTGGGTTTGAACCGCCAACCCTTTGCTTAGCAGCCCAGTGCTTCACCATGGGCGCTGCCATGCTGCTTTCCATGGACACGGTAGATGCAGACTAGCCTGTAGACACAAGCGCCAGCTGTCCCAGCCTCTGCATTTGTGGATCAGGGAACTTGCCCAGTCGCACATAGTGGTAACATGCCAATGACTCAGACCCACGTTTTTTGACTCTCAGTCCAAAGTGTCCTCCCTCCTCGGGGGCTGTGGTTGCGGGTGAGTGGGGGGCAAGCAGATGCACGGAAGCAGTGGTGATCAAGTGTAAGTGATGTGCTCTTTACGGTCGCCTGGAGGGCTTGTTAAAACAGGGATCACCAATTCAAAACTCTCCAGCCACTTACCCCCTGCCTCACCAGCTTCCTTCAACAGCCTTTCAGGACCCCAAGTTCAAGCCCAATCCGTTACCACCTCACATTCTGCCTGCTCCCATAAAGACTACAAAGCCGTTCTTTTCTGCCCCACAGGGGCATCGTGAGTTGGAATCCACTCGACACCAGTGAGGCGTTTGGTTCCACGTCCCTGAGAAGGACTACAATCAAACGACAGATGGTGACAGCTGTTGGCATGGATGTCCAGAATGGGGAAGCCGTGGGCATGCGCCAGGCCATAACCACTTTGGAATACTGTCCGGTAGTTCCTCCCAGATTAAACATAGGCTTGCCACCTGACTCAACAGTCCTGTCTAGGTATATACACCCATGAACGTTGGAAGCCGATATTTACATAAAAACCCTAATGGGAAACGAAACCAAGTGCCCACATGCAAAAAAAAAAATTGTACACAAAAGCTCATTGTTTCCAAAAGCCAAAAAGTGGAGACATCCCAACTATCCAGCGTCTCTGGGCTCCCAAGGGCTAGTGTTTTGGAAATCGACCACCAGGTCTTTCTTCTGAGGTTCCCCTGGGCAGACTCACACCTCACACCTTCTTTGGACCACCAGGACTCTGAAACCTAGGTGACAATGATGGAGGGGGGGAGAGGGGTATGGATTCCAATACACGCGGCCCCTGCCGATGGAGCAGGGCTGCCGTCTTCACACAAGCGAGGGCCAGGCCTCTCTCCCCAGGGGCCAAGGGGTGAGTTCCAATTCCATGGTGCCCCGGGGTTCCTAAAGCAGGGGCAACTGGGTCCCTACCCTAGTTTCTGATCCAGTCGCTCTGGTCACATACACAGTACGAGAGCAGGGGAACCCGCGGGGCCACGACGCGGTACCTGGAAGTGAAAGATCCCGGCGTAGTCCTTCTGGAAGCTCTGGTCCTTGGGGACCACACGGTAGAGCAGCTCTTCATTCAAGGTGAGGGAGGCAATGGCCGCCAGAAGCCAGCAGTCACCTGCACAGGGTCATGGGAGACACATGCTGATCAGGCCAGCCCGCAGGTGCCCCATGTCGAGATCGCTGGCCTTCCTGCCCTGTCTGCTGCGGGGCTCCTGCTGCCCGCCTCTCTGCTGCGGGGCTCCTGCTGCCCGCCTCTCTGAGTCAGATCCCTACATTCCACTGCTCAGGCCTCCTGGGAGTTCTTTGCTCAGGAGCAGAACTTCCCTACTCCTCCCTGCTGCCCCCATATCCTGCCCACATCACATCTTAGGCGCTCATGCAGGGGGGGGGGGGGCGGGGGATGGCGGGGAATGGAAGGGGAGCGCCCAACCAAAGACCAAACTGGAGTTGGTGCGGACTCATAGGCACCCTGCAGGACAGAACTGCCCCTGTGCGTTCTGAGACTGCGACTCTTTGCGGAGCAGAAAGCCTGCCCTCTCTCCCACAGGAAAGGAAAGCTAGAGAAACAAAACTCGGTCCCTTCAGTCCCTTATTAGTGAACTCTGACGAAGCATTTGGTTGGGGTCAACAATAGAGCTATTGGGCCAGTCCGGCATTGGTGTGTCTGTTTGTGTATCTGATGAAGCTCTTCTAACATCATGTGTGTATGGAACTGTGTGTGTGTGAGTGTGCACATACACATTTGTTCATGTGTGTGCATATGTGTATGTGAGTGCAAGTGTCATGTTAGGGGTGGGACATGCACACGAGTGTGAGCATGTTTGTGTGAGTAGGGGTTGTGTGTTTGTGTGCGTGTGTATGGCTGTAGGAGTCAGGCGGTTGTGTGAATATGTGTGCATGGGAATCTGAGTGTGCACCACACACACCCTTGGTGACCTTGGATGGGGAAGGGTTAATCCTTCAAGGTGTGTGTGTGTAGAACACACCTTTCGGGGTTCACCATGGCGGCCCTGGTGCATCATGAATTAGAAGCCCCTGGAGATTGGAGATTGGCATTAAATCACAATCATTTGAGGCAAAAGAAACCCAACAAGGTTAAAAATCCTACTGCTTCCGGTTAGCTGTTTGTGCATGTGGAAGAAAACTCCTTCCTGTGGGTCACCATTTCCTTGGGAGATATCCTTATTCCTCTGGGTGTGGACTTCAAAAGCTTAAGCCTTAACCCTGTGCTTCTCTTAACATCCTGTGGTGGGTCTATTAGCCCGGAATTGTCAACTTCTCACCTCTGCTTAAACACTGGTTCTGTGCCCACCTCTGAGGTCTCGGTATCCTGAAGTGTGTTTCTCAATGTGTGAAAGAGCACTTCTGACTGGCCCGGTGGCTGCCCCTGCCCTGCCTCACTGAGGGCTAGGATTTGGTTAGCAAGTACCTGTTCCTCCTATTCGTTCTGTTCAAATAGCTCAAAACACCTGCTTGGTATCACTGTAGAGAGAGCTTAAATTTCTGAGCACTGCGCTTGCAGAAGGCTGTGGTTCACAATGGAAATCCAATTTGATTTGTGAGTCTCCACATAAATTCAGCCTCCGTTGAATCCTTTCTGACCGTGAACCAGCAGGGTGACTAGTGTGGACCTCAGGCAGAGTGCAGCAGGGAAGAGAGTCCTGTTACTCCCCAACCCAGTTCTGGAAGACTTGAGATAGCCCTTGGGGACTTGCCTTGGTGTGCTCTAAAGGAAAATCCGGGTGTCAGGGTCATGTGATCATGAGTCACACCCTAGCTGCACTGGATGGAGGGCCCTGAATCAATCTTACAAAAGCTCTTCTAACATAATGCACGTGGCCTGATCATGGTCCCACCTGTATGCTCCCAGCCATTACTGCAAGAGATTGATCTGCCACCAACCATCCTTTGCGATGGTCTCCTTAGCTCTCCCAGGTCCGTGCCAAGTCTCTGAATCTCAGTGAACTCTGGGACACGTTTGCAACCTGGTGCCCACGGTTTCCCTCATCCAGGTGACCTGTGTCTGTCTTTCTCTTGTCTTCATCCTGTTCAGGCTTCATAACTAGTCTCCGAAATTGTAGCTGAGATTTGGGGTCTCTTTTGTACCTTAAAACAAGTCTCAACCTTCATCTTTTTCTATATATAGATCCCATTAGCTTCAAGTGGAAGCCCCTTACCCTTCTAGACTCTCCTCTCAGTACCTTGCCTGGCTCTGTTGTCCTAGTAGCTCAGCACCACTCCATCACTAAGTCAGCTTAGACTGCCCTTTTGTTCTATCTGCCCTGATTCCCCCCCTCCTTTTCCCAGCTCCTAGTCTTGTGCTCTCCCACCCCCCACCTACCGCAAAAACATCTGCCTTCTGACATCTTTCTGATCCAAGAGGCAACCCTGATTTCCACGCCCTCTTCTCCCCAGGCTCCATTTAACTCCCAAATACAACCCCATGAGCACAGCAGGGCTTCAGGTGCAAACAGCTCCGGGAGTCAGGGGAGAATGGCATGGACAGGCCTGGGTTTTGTCGCTTCCCACCAAAGAAGGCTCAAGGGACGTGGTAACTTATTTGCTTTTAAAAAACCAGCTCAGTGCCCTGAGTAGATGCTGGCTCATAGTGACCCTATAGGACAGGGTAGAACTGCCCCCCATGAGTTTCTGAGATTGTAACTCTTTAAGGGAGTAGAAATCCCCTTCTCTTCCTCGGATCAGAGTGGCTGGTGGTTTCGAACTGCTGACCTTGCAGATTGCAGCCCATTGCATAACGACTACATCACCAGGGCTCCTAACTTATTAAAAGGCAACTTCCCAAGACTGTGAATATGGGTGCACATATGTGTATGTAAGTGTCCATATGTGTTAGTGTGTGGGGTGTGTGTGTGCAGGTGTATGACTCTGAGTATGCATCAGGGGGTTGTGTGTATATGTGGGTGCACACATGTCTGTGTGCTCCTCACCCCTATGCAATGAAATTGGATGATAGTGAGTAAAATAACATGGAGTGAAATAGCATACCATTCCTTCTCCACCATTCTCTCTCTCTCTCTCTCTCTCTCTCTCTCTCCAGGCTTCTTCTACTAACACCCTGGGTCTTGGCATTCCTCTGTTCAAAACCTCCATCATCCTCCAATGCTTACAGTCAACAGTTCAAACCCACCCCGTGCTCTGAGAGAGAAAGATGAGATTTTCTGCTCCTGTAAAGATTCATAGGCTCAGAAACCCACAAGGGCGGTTCTACCCTATCCTGTGGGGCTGATATGAGTTGGCATCAACTTGATGGCAGTGAGTTGGCAGCAAGCAGAGTATCAGGACCCTTCACAAATGACTTCAACTCATCATTCCAATCTTTTTTCCATTCAACTGACCACCATGAGTCTACTGCTTCAGTAACAGTTGAATATGCGAAGGGATCAACCTCCCCCCCCAGGGGTCATTTAGGTGTCACTCCCTCCAACAGTGTCAAGGGATGCAGGCTGCTCCCCTAGGATGCCCCTAGTGATGCCACTGGCATTAGTATTGCCTCTGGAGACTTCGGGGAGGAGGAAGCATTCTACTAGAATGGAAGGATCCCAAGGGAGGCATCAGGGTGCTCAGTTAGTGATCCAAACTAGGTACCCATTAGCCTTTGTTTAGTTTCCTCATTCCTTTGAAAGGGGTGGAACCCCGATAAAGTGGGTGCATAAGCAAATGTGGTGAAGAAAGCTAATGGTGCCCGGCTATCAAAAGATGGAGTCTTAAAGGCTTGAAGATAAACAAGCAGCCATCTAGCTCAGAAGCAACAAAGCCAACATGGAAGAAGCATACCAGCCTGTATGATCATTAAGTGTCGAAGGGATCAGGTATCAGGCATCAAAGAACAAAAAAATCATATCATTGTGAGTGAGGGTGAGTGCAGATTGGGGACTCAAAGCCCATCTGTAGGCAACTGGACATCCCCTTACAGAAGGGTCACAGGGAGGAGATGAGCCAATCAGGGTGCAGGATAGCAACCATGAAACATACAAGTTTCCTCAAGTTCTTAAATGCTTCCCCCGCCCCCACTATCATGACCCCAATTCTACCTTACAAATCCGGCTAGACCAGAGGAGGTACATTGGTACAGATAGGAACTGGAAACACATGGAATCCAGGGCAGATGATACCTTCAGGACCAGTGGTGAGAGTGGCGATACCAGGAAGGTGGGATAGAAAGGGGTAACTGATTACAAGGATCTACATATACCCTCCTCCCTGGGGGATGGACAACAGAAAAGTGGGTGAAGGGAGACATCAAACAGTGTAAGATATGACAAAATAATAATAATTTATAAATTATCAAGGGTTTGTGAGGGAGGGGGAGCCGGGAGGGAGGGGGGAAATGAGGAGCTGGTACCAAGGGCTCAAGTAGAAAGCAAATGTTTTGAGAATGATGATGGCAACATATGTACAAATGTGCTTGACACAATGGATGTATGTATGTATTGTGATAAGAGTTGTAAGAGCCCCCAATAAAAAGAATTAAAAAAAAAAAGTTGAAAAAAAGAATTAAAAAAAAAAAGTTGAATATGCAACCAAAAAAAAAGCACACCCTGCTCTTTTCCACACCCATGGTTCTGCTCATGGCCTCTCTGTGATACAAAGTCCTTGCCTCCACTTCACCTGCTGAAGCGTACCCTTCCTCCATGTGGCCGACAGCCAGAGTCACCCCTGCGCCTTGTGCTCCCCAATGACCTTGCTTCTCTTGCATAGTTATTGGGACTCCCTGAGTGGTGCAAATAACTAAAAGCATGACTAGTGACAGAAAGATTGGTGGTTCAAATCCACCCTGAGGCACCTTGAAAGCAAGCTGGGGTGGGGGTGGGGGGGTTCTTTCTGAAAAAGCAGCTCTGGTAAATCTGAAGGAGCACAAGTCCATGCAGATACACGTGGAGCCACCAGGAGGCAAAACAAATGGGGCAACTGGTTTGGTTTGGGTTTTCTCTGCATGGACATTATTACTCAGATCAAACTGCAGACCCCATCTGTGTATCAGCTACCTGCGGTTCAACTGTTAACCAAAAGGCTGGAGGCTCCAGTCTACCTAGAGGCATCTTGGAAGAAAGGCCTGGTGATCTCAACTGTCAAATTCACTGCCATCGAGTTGAT